TTTTATTTCTTCTTATAAAATAACTTCTTGGGGGCCCTCCTGGTGGCACAGTAGGTTAAAGCATAGCAATATAAAGCTATCCACAGCCACTACAGCACAAGTTAGTTCCCCAGCCAGGAAGCTGACCCACATGGTGCAGCAGACCTCTCCTGACCCACCCGCTGCTCCCCTCAGCAATGTATTTCAGTTAATCTGCCTGTTCTTCTCCCCACTCTGTCTCTGGTGAATCCTTTCACCCCTTGTACCCCTGGCCTTTACCCTAGTTCTTACATGCATAAATAAATAAACCTTTTAAAACGATAAATGAATTCTTTTAAAAATAAAACTCCTTAGTTCATTCTATATCTTGCCAAACTGACTGTTTATACTGCAAAATCAGAATCTTAACTCTTTCCTTGTGAGGTAAATAGCTACTGGTATCAGCAATTGAGGGGCTTGAATAAGCTGCAGAAATGCAACCTAATTCCAGTTTTCACTTGGAATATGAAATTATAGTGTATTTTGAGAAAAAGAGTTTGCTTTTGGAAAAGTTAAAGTTTTTCCTTTGTTGCACAGTTCAGTGAGTAATTTTTCTTAATGATGTGTTTGAATTAGAAACATGGAACTTTGGGGCAGGAATATACTTTAGAAGCCATCCCTCCCTGTTACTTTATTTTACACTTAGGATACTGGTTTGCTTTTTTTTGGCATACAAGTCATTCTAAATAATTTTTTAAGAAATAGCATTAAGAGGCCCTCCCTGGTGGTGCAACGAGTTAGGACACAGCACTGCAAGCTAGCACAGCCACTTCAGTGCAAGTTCAATCCCCCTGCCTGGGGGTGATCCACGTGGCACAGCAGACCTCTCTTGACCCACCTGCTGCTCACCTCAGCAGTGTACTTAGTCAGACTGTTCTGCTCCCCAATCTGTCTCTGGTGAATCCTCTCACTGCTCCTGCACGTTCTGTATGAATAAATAAATAAATCTTTAAAAAAAAAAAAAGTAGCATGAAGAGTCTAAAATATTTTCATGAAATATGTTGCTTTCTATTTTGTGAAATTTATCAATTAGCGTTTTAAACAAAGTGGCTCACTTTTTTTTTTTTTAAAGATTTATTTATTTGTACATACAGAACTGGGGTATAGGCCAGAGGCCCAGGGGCGGTGAGAGGCTTCACCAGAGACAGAGTGGGGAGCAGAACAGGCAGATCGACGAAGTACACTGCTGAGGAGAGCAGCGGGCGGGTCAGGAGAGGTCTGCCAAGCCATGTGGTCACCTCCGAGGCAGGCGGGAATCGAACTCATGCGGAAGTGGCTTTAGTTTCTCAGTGCTGTGCTTTAACCCGCTGCGTCACCAGGGAGGGCCAGTGGCTCACTTTTTAATTGAAAGTAATGACATCCACATGGAAAAGTAGGAAACTAAAAATGTGCAGAAAAAGAATAAGCAGCTCACTCATTTTCCCATTACCCCTTTATACAGACATATTTTCTAATCTCTTTTTAATATATGTATCCATTTTTAATAAAAGCAGTACAGTAGTATTTTTGTCACATAACATGTTGCTTTTTAACTCGCTATATTCTCCCAGCACCAGGAAAATTCTTCTGATTTTTTTTTTTTTTTATATTTAAAGAACAGGTTTATTAGGGAAAAGGACAAAAAAGTAAAAGACACTTACCTAGACACAGGAAGGCAAAAAGAGCCACCCTGGAAGGGACAGGTTTAGAGAGGCCTGCATGGTTTGCAGGCAGGCAGCCTTGGGGAGAGCTACCTCTGCTGAGGGAGGGCAGTGAAGAGAAGCCCCGGCAGGTGCAGGTCATGGGCAGGCAGGAGGCTGCTGCCCTGCGGAGGAAGAGAGTTGGCAACAAGAAGCACCTGCATAGGCACAGGTGGTCCTGGCTGCTGCCAGTTCTTCTGGGTTTTGATGCCTACATGATATCTCACAGGGTGAAATATTAATCGTAATACCAATGGCATAGGAATTGACTGTCAGTGTCAAAAAAAGCACAGCCCCTCCCTGCTGGCGCAATGGGTTAGGACGCAGAACTGCAAGCTGGCCACAACCACTTCAGTGAAAGTTCAATCCCCGGCCTCAGTGGTGACCCACATGGCATGGCAGACCTCCCCTGACCCACCCGCTGCTCCCCTCAGCAGTGTACTTCGACGATCTGCCTGTTCTGTTCCTCAGTGTCTCTGGTGAACCCTCTCACCCCCCGCACCTCTGGCCTGTACCCCAGTTCTGTATGGATAAATAAATAAATCTTTTTAAAAATGCACATCAAGATCAGTTACTCACTGATTGCACTCTATCCATCCTTATGAAATATTGTCTCCAAGGACTCTAATTGCAGGGTCCTTCACCTGCTGGCCAGGAAGGAAGATAATGAGGGGTGATAGCTACTCACAAATGATGTGCTAGATTGGTGGTTTTCTTTTTATATATTTTGTTGGAGATTCACGTCATTCTTGTGATTTGATGATCCATTTAAGTGCATGTTAAAGTGATAAGTCGTAGCTAGGATTTAAAGTATTCCCTAACACATATAGATGATTCCCATTGCTAGCTCAGTGTGTGGAAGAACTAGAACGGTATTAGAAAGCCTACCTGGAAATTCAAAGGAGTGTGATCTGATGTAGGTCTGTTTTCTACTGGATGCGAGAAGATAGTTGTATTTACCTCAATATTCTGCAAAATTGAAGAGTTAATATGATAAAGTTGTTACTGGAAAAGCTGGGTCCTTATGCCTGTCACTACAGGTGATAATGAACAGAAACAGGAATTGAATCGATAAGAAGTGCTTTTATTTAGAATGCTGGTCAGTGATCTGAAAGCGTATCACCCTGAAGAAACTGTTCGGACTTCTCATCTCAAGCTGTCCTTCTTATATTGAATCAAACAAAGATGGTCTTAAGAGAGTCAGTTTATCAGAACAGTTAATATTTCTGGTATCTGTTATGTTCAGCTCCGAGGCTTAGTTATTCAAATCATCTTGGCCTCAGTACATCTTAGCCTCCTGAGCTTGCTTAATTTCTGAGGGCATCAATGTCCAGCACCCCTTGGGGGTCAGGGGGCAGCAACCCCAGTTCAAAGCAGAAGTTTTAGGCTAAAGAGAACAGATCATTAGTCATATAGGGCGTAGTGTATGTGTACAGATTCCTGTGTGAGGTGTGGTGCTTCCCTGCCTCCCCAGCCTGCTCTCAACTTTTGTTAGGTGATTTTTGAACCAACATCAGCTTTGTTTGGAATGTGCTGATGGAGTATGAGAGAGTAGAAAAAGTATGGGCCAAAGGCTGTGTTTTGATATTGGCAGGTTTGCTCAAAAAGCTTAAAGAATTTGCTTTATTTCTTTCAGTGTTAATTTGCCTCTTTCCCTCTGACCATCTCGTATTCATCCAGCCATCTATGCATTCACACATGCATATAAATGAGATTATGGAGGAGAGAAAGCTACTGAATAGTTTTTACTGTGTACCTAGCACCATAGCTGAGATGTAAACATCTCCATTAGCTATGTGAAGAACCTGATTATTTCGCCACATATTTTTTTTTAAGATTTATTTATTTATGCATATAGAACTGGGGTACAGGCAGAGGCAGTGAAAGGATTCACCAGAGACAGAGTGGGGAGCAGAATAGGCCAAATGACAAAGGGGAGCAGCAGGTGGGTCAAAAGAGGTCTGCCATGCCATGTAGATCACCTCCGGGGCAGGGATCGAACTCATGCTGAAGTGGCTTCTTAGTGCTGTGCTTTAACCCGCTGTGCCATCAGGGAGGGCCCTCCCCAATTATCTCTTTAATGAAGTATACCATTCTCTTACATCCTTATTAATTTTTTGACAATATAAGATTTCTCTTCTCAGGTATGGTCACTCTACCTCTCCCACCACCAGAGCACCCACAGTCCTCCACCATAGCCCTTTGCTGGTCCTCCCCTCTCCCCCTTTCACCCCTTCTCATTTCCTAAATGACTCAGACCTATGGTCAGCTTTCAAAGCTTTGTCTTTGTCTGATGTTTTGTTGGGTTTTAAAAGAGCTATTTTAAAGCAAGACACTTCAACTAAATGTTCTTGAGACATCTTCAATATCACATTTGCTTCCAGATTTTTCCTGCTTAACTTCATCTTACTCTACAAATAATTTAGAATTATCTTCCTAATTAACTAATAATTTAGAAAACAACTCCAGTGTTCTTTTTTTTTTTTTTAAGATTTATTTATTTATGCTTACAGAACTGGGATACAGGCCAGTGGTATGGTGGGTGAGAGGCTTCACCAGAGACACAGTGGGGAGCAGAACAGGCAGATTGATGAGTTACTCTGTTGAGGGGAACAGCGGGTAGGTCAGGAAAAGTCTGCCACCCACGTGGTTCAGCTCCAGGGCTGCCAGGGATTGAGCTCGTGCTGCAGTGGCTTCGGAGAGCTTCATAATATGGTGCTTTAACCTGTTATACCACCTGGGAGAGCCCCCCAGTGTTTAAGTGATGAATGGCTACATAAAATGTGGTATGTGATTACAGTTGGATGCTCTTCAGTAATAAAAGTATTAGAAAATGGTACGCTATGGATATACCTTGAAAATATTATGCTAATTGAAAGAAGTCCATCCCGAGATCACATATTGTGTGATTCCATTTATATGAAATATTCACAATGGACAAATACATACTAATAGAAAGAAGGTGTTGAAAATGCCCTAACACTGACTGATCTGAAAGCAATACAACTCCCTGAATATATTAAAAACCATCAGTAAGTCCACTTTCACTAAGTGAGTACACCTAGTTGGTAGTGACTATATCTTAGTAAATCTTCTATAAAACTAAAACATTCATTGAAGTATAAATGCAGTTTATTTGCAAAGGAAGGTGATATTATAACAACTACTTAATTGTTCCCAAATTAAATGAGGGGACAACTCAAAATCTTTTGTTAAATGAGAGGAAAAATGGCTTGTACAAAATTAGGTTCATTTAATTAACATTGCTGAATTATGTTGATAGATGTTATTGTATTGTTTCAGGTCCTAAACTTAGTGCAATCCTACGTGACCCTTCGAGTCCCTCTCTATGTCTCCTACGTGTTCCATTCTCCTGTCGGGGTAGGAGGCTGGCAGCATTTTGACTTGAAATCAGAGCTTCGCCTCACTTTTGTGTATGACACTGCCATCTTGTGGAATGATGGTATTGGCAGCCCACCAGAAGCCGAACTTCAAGGTGGGTTCATACGCTTGGAAAATTCTCATTTATTTACCTATTTGAATTGTGTATGAGGATTTTTTATTGCAGCTACAAATAATAAAAATAGCTTTCCAGATATTTTATGTTATGGTCATTTTATTGTTGTTTTACAAAATTTAATGCCTTAAATTAATTATGTACCATTAAACATAGCATCTATTTTTTGTGAATGTTTAACTCTTACATTACACAATATAATCTATATGTTTTCCTGGATTCTAGAAAATGGATAAAATCCATTTTAAAGATAAGGAATGCATGCAAGGGGGAAAGCTGTATGTTTTGTTGGAGAATCCTGGATTCTAGTTCTGGCTGTACAGTTCACCAACTGTATGATCGGAAACATATCACTTAACCTTCATGACATGCAGTTCCTTCTGGAAGACAAGCCAACCATCTAGTTTTTAAATTCTATTATTCCTTGTCACTTTAGCTGAATGTCTTGGAACAGTCATGGTGCATACCACGAAGCATCTGCAAAATATAGCTTCAATCTCTATGTCAGGATCGTAGGAAAAGGTCCACAAACAGAGCTAATAAATCCATTAGTACAAAGGGTGCTATTGCTTTTCAAGCACACCTTACTGCTCTGGTTCCAAGAATCATACCTGGACTACATTTAGGAGCCAGAGGGGAAATGCTGTTGATTGTACATCTAAAAATCTGCTGAAATGCCAGATTAAAATTAATGTTATATAAAAGTTAATAGGGTCACCCTAAATCATCATTCTGGGTTATTTCGGTTATTTCAAATGTTTTATTTCCACGTCTTACCCTAGAAAAGGTGGAGGCCTTAATGTAGGCCCATTCTGTTTCTCAGTTTCTACAAAGGGATCTCATGTTTTCTTCATCTGGTCCCAACTGTGGTCAAAACTGCTAAATTTCCTGGGAAAGCTGGAAAGTTTTCAGTAAGCGTATAACATTTTGAATTCTGCTGATGGACCAAAACCCAATTCCGTGGACCTGTCCAAATTTTCTAAATGTGACCAGTTCATGGTGTCTCTGCATTATGCAGCTTCATTGTCATAGTCTACAGCTTGTCCTGTTGTAACCAGGGCATTTCCTATTGACCTCACTCATATCTAATTCAGCTTTGCCTCCCTTCTGATCCTGATCTTCTTAGAAAAACAAAACAAAACACTTATTGCTCAGGAATTTTCTTATAGTATGCTTTGACTTGAATACGTAAAAAGGAGATGGACTTGAATTCATTCTTGGAAGAAATCTTATATATTAGGAACCCCCGTCACCAATATTTCCACGCATGTGCCTTATCCCATTGTAGGGTCTCTCTATCCAACCAGCATGCGCATCGGTGAAGAGGGACGTTTGGTCGTGAACTTCAAGACAGAAGCTCAATTCCATGGTTTATTTGTGCTTTCACATCCGGGTAAGCCCCAACATCTATTGATATCTACTCTTAGTACAGCAAGTATATGCTTTTCCATATTCACATGTTTCAGCTTGCCTACTTGTGAGCTTTGAGGTTTTATTTCAAATGAATTATGTATCTGCAATTACCTACATGATCAGGGCTTGATCACTGTCCAACTACATCTCATAGTCTAAAAATATCACCTATCTAGACTTTTATGGAAAATGCATATTGGTGAAAATGATTTAAACAAAAATTCCATTGAGTTCATTTTAAGTGGATTTTTCTCTAAATAAAGAGTATAGCATTAGGGCTCTCCCTGGTGGTACAAGGGGTAAAAGCGCAGCACTGTGAAGCTATCATTAGCCACTGCAGCAAGAGTTTGATCCCTGGCCAGCCAGAGGGCTGACCTACAGGCCACAGCAGACCTCTCCTAACCCACCCACTGGTCCCTTCAGCAGTGTATTTCAGTCTATCAGCCTAGTCTGCTCTCCTGTCTGTCTCTGATGAATCCTCTCAACCCCCTCCCACATCTCTGGCCTGTACCCCAATTCTTATATGCATAAATAGATGAACCTTTTTTTAAAAAAGAGTATAGCAGTAATCATCTCCTTCTCTACCTCAATTCCATTGTGCAAAAAAAAATTGTATTTTTAAGTGATTCACTTAGCAAGTATGTTTGCTCACAGTTCTTACCTAAGTTTAGCTGAAAGTCTTTATAATATAGCCGTGAATAGTACTTTATTATCACACCTGTTAACTAATATCAAACTTGTTAATTATCTTTTATAAGTATATCTATGGAACTTTACTTTGATGAGTCACACTTTGAATATCAATAAGGTGGCAATCCTTAAAGTCTATGTCTATATTTTTATTTCATATAAAAGACATTTCACTAAAAGTAATTTTTTTTTATCACTCTCCATGTTGCTAATTTCTTACATCTTTTACTCTTATGCCAACTCAGGTCAGATTGGAAAGAGAAAATAGTTCAGTTAGCATCTTCAACTTCCTTCCTTTTTCTGGGCATAAGTTCTGTCAAAAGAGAGAATAGAGCTGAAAATTCATGAGACCAAACTACTTTGAAATACAGAACCAAAAAGAATCATTTTGCTTTATTTTTAATTGACCCTTCTGGAACATGAGGATTTCCTGTTCTTTACAGTTCCCTTCCACATGTCTACCTTTCTAATCAAATAAATCTTTGTTTAGACATGATTGCAGACAATATAATTAAAATTAGATTCCATTTATAAATTGGGTTTGCCTAGCTGTGTGGGCACGGATGGACTGAAGTTGAGCCCATAGTTGGGTGCACAATAAATGCTTTCACATTAGCCTTTTGCACTGCTCTGCTCCCTGGAAAGGAGCCCTGAACCATTTGAGCATTTCTGCACAGTTATCTATTGACAGAATCATAGCGTGGAAAAAGCGAGAAATCCGAATCAGAAGGCACACATCCTCTGCAGTGTGACCTGAAGGAATCACGTGGTGTCTTTCAGTCCAGTTTCCCTATCTGCATCATGAAGCTAATTGGACCAATTCTGCTACTTGCTGGCTAACTGTACGCATAGTAGCAAGTCATGTCTGATAGGCACTTTGAAAATTCTAAACCGTTGTACACTCTTTTAACCATTTACTGTTATCGATCTTTTCCTAGCCTCGTTCACAAGCTCAGTCATCATGTCAGTGGATCATCCGGGCTTGACATTTTCCCTCCGTCTCATCAGGAGTGAGCCCACCTACAACCAGCCAGTGCAGCAGTGGAGCTTTGTGTCTGACTTTGCAGTAAGTGACTTGGGCTCAGACTTAATTTTCCTTGCCTTGCTGCCTCCAACAACACCTCCGATTTTTAAAGGAAAAACATAAATGTCCTGGGTCCTCCCTAGTAGCACAAATGGGATTCATCGCAGTACTGTGAAGCTATCTGCAGCCACTGTGGCACAAGTTCATTCCCAGGCCAGAGAGCTGACCCACATGGCACAGCAGACCTCCCCTGTCTTGCCCACTGCTCCCTTCAGCAGTGTTTTCAGTCAATCTGCCTTGTCTGCTCCCTACTCTGTCTCTGATGGGTCCTCTCACCCCCCACACCTGTACTCCAATTCTTGTGTGTATAAATAAATCAATCTTCGAAAAAAAGGAAAAAGAAAAATATGACCATCCTCTTTTCTCCTCAAAGGTACGTGACTACTCAGGGACCTACACTGTGAAATTGCTACCTTGTACCACCCCGCCGCACCAGGAGTACCGCCTGCCCATCACTTGCAACCCCAGAGAGCCCATCACCTTTGACCTTGACATTCGATTCCAACAGGTGCCTCTCATAGTATTGTTCTCTCATCAATTGTCAAATCCCATTCTGCTAAAATCATGGTTTACTTTTATTGGTAAAATAAACTTGTTCATACAGTGATGTTAGTTCTTGAATGATGAGAGAAAAGAAAACAAGAGTGCAAGGATGTACAAAGAGTGTTCTTTTATCTGTTGTTGGTTCAGCATAGAAATTCCATAGTTTAAGAGTATGCAAGGATTATATTTTTTTCATATGATCTTATCTTCTGGAATTTGCAAACTTGGAGATCAGAAAGTCTTTCCCAGAGTACTTCTTTGTCTTGTTCTTGATCTTCAGTGAGAATAAGTATCCTGTCATTTAAACCACCTCAAGAACCTTATTGTTATTAGGTATTAAAAGAAACATGATGGCTCTTTGGACCAAGAACTTACATCATTTATTGACCTTCCATTGAACATGATAATTACAAGTCCCTTTTCTACCTGATAAACACATGGAAATGAGCCTAAGCAATGCGCTCCATTCCCATTAAAAAGATGATTTAACCTTACCAGTTTTGTCTTCTTAAGAAAGACAAAGGCAATGTTACAGTTCCCTAAGTGGACATGACAGTTGCAAAGCAGTGTGTACTGTATGTGAGTGTGTCTGTGTGTCTGTATGTGAACGTGTCTCTGTAAATAGTGTGTGCACCAGTAGAACAACATGTGAAAAGGATTTTGCGCTTGGTTTTAGGTCAGTGATCCAGTGGCAGCTGAGTTTAGCTTGAACACCCAGATGTATCTGCTCTCCAAGAAGAGTCTCTGGCTCTCTGATGGATCCATGGGATTTGGACACGAAAGTGATGTTGTGTTTGCGGAAGGTATCACTTTACAAATGAGCCACTGTAGATGTTCTCCTTTGCTTGATTCCTTTATGTTCGAGGAGGGAACTGATAACCACTTGTATGGTTATGAGAATCTAACTGGACCTTTATCACTGTCTCAGGGATGGGGGTGTTTGACTGCATGACTTTTATTCTGGGAAAGTTAATCTCCACTTCTCTCATCTTTGTGACTTTGAAACAAGTCTATTTTTTTTCTTGAATATTTTTTCAAGTTGCATAGACTCATATACAGAAATCTGTAGAATATTCATGGTCTATAAAGTCTCCCAGATGAGGGTCCATCTATTTTGTTCAATGGTGCACTCCCAGCACATAACAAAATACTTATCACACATGTAGGAGTTTAGTAGTAACTGAAATAAATGACTGAACATCAAGGAATTTCTTTGAACTGTCTTTCAAACTCAAAAGATGTTGGGGCCTCCTTGGTGGCCTAGGAATTAAGTCTCAGTGCTGTCACCTCAACAGCCTGATTTCGATCCCCAACCAGTTAGCTGACCCATGGGGTGCAGCAGACCGCTCCTGTCTCACCCACTGCTCCCCTCAGCAATGTATTCCAGTACATCCTCCTGTTCTGCTCCCCACTCTGTCTCTGATGAATCCTCTCACCCCCTGCACCTCTGACCTACATTCCAGTTTTTCTATGCAAAAACAAATTTTAAAATATTTAAAAAGAAAAAAAGGGCAAAATAAAAAATGTTAATTTAGCTTTTTATCAATATTTTCATTTGTCAGTGGTCTTCTATACTCTGTCTCCAGCTTTGCCAACTTACTTGTGTAAAGTGGACTGTAATTATCAACACAATGAAATATAATGACTATAAAATAGGGTTCAATAAACCTTCAGTCACTTGTGGTGTGTCTGCAGGGTGAGCTTCTGTGAGGCCTGGGAGTGGACCAGATCCAGTCCCAGGACTGATGTAAAAAGGTCTTCAACATTTTGTGCCAGAGGTGAAGGCAAAGGAGATAACGCCCAGTCATGCAGACATACCTTAGCGCGCACAGGAATAATATTTCTACATCTCGGTTTCAGGGGATGTAATTTATGGCCGTGTCATGGTGGATCCTGTCCAGAATCTGGGCGACTCCTTCTACTGCAGCATTGAGAAGGTGTTCCTGTGTACTGGGGCTGATGGGTATGTGCCCAAGTACAGTCCCACCAATGCAGAGTTTGGCTGCTTAGCTGATTCACCTTCACTCTTATATAGATTTAAAATTGTGGTAAGTATTTGGCCCAAGCAATAAACTAGAAAGACTTTTTTTTAAAATTTTTTTATTACAAAGTTTATTTTTACATCATTTTGCACATTTTTTTTTCCATCTCGATTGTAATCCCCGCGGGTTTCCCATCACCAGATCACCCCTGTGCCACCACCCTAGTCCCTTGCATTTCCCTCCCTTCCCCCCCCCCCCCGTTTTTGATCCCATTCCCCACTCCACCCCCACAGAATGTTTCTGGTCTATGGTTGTTCATTATTTTTGTTATTTTCTCACCTGGTCCATTATACTCCTGCTATGAGTGAAACCATCCGGTATTTTTCTTTCTCTTTCTGGCTTATCTCACTAAGCATGATCTTTTCCAGCTCCATCCAAGTTGCTGCAAAAGACATGTGTTTCTCTTTTTTGGTTGCTGAGTAATATTCCATTGTATATATGTACCACATCTTTCTAATCCAGTCAAGTAAACTAGAAAGACTTTTAATGTTAAACGTTTCTGCCTTCTATTTAAAAACCAGAGCATGTTTTGCCAAGTGAAACCAAATAGTGACATTTTCTGCTAATTTGATACTTGCACAAAACTAGTAGGAATGCATCCTGTGTTTGCAAAAGTTGGCATTATCTACAGCAATCTTCATTTTCCTTATTGCTTAAAGGATAAAGCTCAGCCAGAGACACAAGCCACCAGTTTTGGTAATGTCCTGTTTAATGCCAAACTGGCGGCAGATGACCCTGAAGCTATTCTCTTGGTGAATCAGCCTGGATCTGATGGATTTAAAGTCGACTCAACACCTCTCTTTCAGGTGAGGCAACCACGAGCTCACTAACAATAGCTGTGTACCCACATTGCTCAGGGACCAGATATCTCGTTTCTAAGTGGGAGTAATAACAAGGCATATGGTTAATATGAACATCGATAAGGTACTGCATGTAAACCACACAAGACCACACTGGGCATGCAGTGAGCATTTCATAGACTCAGATATTTTACTGATGTATTAACACACTGTCAAGGCTGTAATGGAGAACTTTATAAGCCCCGAAGAGGAAATCTGACAGAAACATGTTTGCTATTCCTAATATCTGCAAATAAGAAGTTGAAGTATGACATCTTTTGGTTTTAATGTTATAGTTAATGAGAGCATCAGATATCTCCTAAATCCTAAAAGCCTCAAAAAGCCACCAGAAAATCCCACCTTTTTAGAGAGCCTGGGAAGCAGAAAAACTGCCCTGTTCCCTGGTCTTATATTTTAGACCTGTTCTCTGGTCTTGTATATAACAATGAGGCATCACATGCTGGGAAGAGTCCTGAGGATCAGAGGATCAGACGGAGGGTCCTGCCTCCATCCCTGACTAGTCTGGGACAGTTTCTCAACTGGCCTGTATCCTTCTGTACTCATTTTGTAAACAAACAAGTCAGACTGTAGGATAGCTACAGCTCTGACCTATGACAACTACGAGTCACAGATGACAAATATTTGCCAGCTGCAGCTTCCTTAAAAGTTGTACTGTGTATGTTATAGAGCCCTTTACACAAAGACTTGCACGTCTATATGCATGGAGTTATTAAGTATATTAGTCCACATGTCTGATTAAAGTATTCTTTATTATCTCTGTCATCAGTTCCTCTTGCAAATAATCAGGAAAAGGTCGGCATAGTATTTAATTTCCTAATGAGTAGAGTTGTGTTTTCTAGGTTGCTCTGGGACGAGAGTGGTACATTCACACTGTCTACACAGTTAGATCAAAAGATAATGCCAATCGAGGCATTGGCAAAAGAAGTGTGGAGTACCAGTTCCACTCTTTGATGGGTCAAGGGATGCTCCAGGCAACTACAAAGAACCGGAAGAAAAGGGAGATCAGGACCGCACCCCCACTAGTATGGGAAATCGGTGCTGAAAACAACCGAGGAACGAATATCCAGCACATTACCTTGGACAGAACCAACAAGAGGCAGGTCCCCCAAGGGCGGATTCCTCCTGACGGTGTCCTCCCCCGGGAGCTCAACAGCCCCAATTCTGAGATCAACCTGTTCACAGTTGTGGGAGGTGTTTTGGCAGGATTACTCACCCTCTGCTTCACCACCATCACAGCGATGGTGTGCAGGAACAAGAAGAATGCCCAGAAGAAGGCCACCTCCAAGGGTTCGGGCAGCAGCGAGCCCATGATGCCCCAGCAGGGCCACCAGAGCGACAGCTCAGAGGTGTGATACCCACAGGTGAAACTTAGCCTCTTTTTCAAGTGCCTCAGAAAAGACAATATGAACCCAAATGTTTCTGTGTGTGGCAGAAAGTTTGGGAGACCTGTGATGAAGCTGCTCAGAGGAACTGTGTACTAATGAACTTGGATTTGAATTGTCTACTCATTCGTGCATCAAAGGATAAATTCAGACCACAAGTCCTTCTTTCCTCTTACCCAAAAGACATCTTCTATGTATTCATAGGGACAGAGAACCACCGCTGGAGGGCAAAGAAGGTCCTTCCCGTTTTAGGCATTTTCTCTACACAGCAGAGATGAATCTGTTCAAAGGTGCTAATAGACTCTCTTAGATGTTTAAGAGGAGTCTATCATTGCTATATTTGTATGAACCTGGAAAGTACAATTATCACAGTGCTTCTTCATTGTATTGCAATTTATACTAGAATATATTTAATGGGTAGTCTGAAAGAATGATGAACACACTGTTCATTGTGGCAAGTTTTCTATCAGGTGAAGATGGCATAAAATTATGACCAGGGTAATGCAACCCACTAATCACCTTTTCTGCTATGCGGAAGGAAGTGGAAAGAAGTGGAAAGAAATGTAAAGAACAAGCAACTCACCAACTCGAACTTGAATTGTTTCTCATCTTTCTCAAACTCACTAGTTTTATTTTCTTATTTAATTTTAAATTAAACCAAAGACTTTGTTAAGTCTGGAAGAGCTTGTTGAAGAGAGATTGCTCTGATGGTGGTAGATAGTAAGAAATAGTAGATTTCTTGTATGATAACACTTATAGGAAATGAGGGGTGTGGTCACATTTTGATGATGAAGAAATGCCATAGAACTAATTCACATTTACAAGACTACGTTCTTTAAGAACTGAGCCTAGGTGTTTGCAGTATTGAACCCATATGTGGTAATAAGAAACATCCTAATAATGGTGAAGGGAGAAAGTGTTATTTATTAATATAAAATGTAAACAAAGTGCCTCTTATACATACTTTATAATGGAACATTTTGAGAAATGATACATGACATTGACCCTCCTATTCTATAACATAGTCATACAGCAATGTGCAGAATTTAAATTGGTCTTAGGACATTTTTGTTAACATTCTAATCAGGAATCTCTGTAGCTGTCACTGCGGAGAGGTCATGGAGGTGGCCAGCACCACCGATTAGAGTCTTCTTTGATCCAAGAAAAAAGCATGGTCTTCTAGCATCTCCGGTTCAACAAGGTTCATCTCAGAATCAAAAAAAAAGAACTTTTGACAATTTCCCAGCCACCTCACAAAACCAAGGAATTTAACACGCTACCCATTGCTTTTTTGAGAAATGTGCTTTCACCAGATGACAATTTTCTACCGGCAAGGGAAAATGTTAGTCATTTAATGACCAGTCTTCCAAAAGTTAGTAAATATATTTCAAACAAAAGTAAGGTCAAGAGAATAAAAGCTATAATTCAGAGGTGCCTTGGGGTTCCCCTTCCTGTACAGCCAAAACTTGCCCAAACTATACAGCCTGGTGGAGTGGGGATGTTAGGCCAATTTCTCTTCACATTCTACAAGTATATCTTAACTGGTATCTGAGAACACTAGCCATCTCTTCATTGAAAAAGGAAGTTTTCCTGGTGCTAAGAGAGGTGGCTCCTACTTACCTCTCTACTTGAGGCAGCTCAGACTTCACATTCAAAGTTTTTTAAAGAAGAGAATACACTGTGGTCTCCTTCTCATGTGGGCTTCACAGGTATCACATGCAACTCATAGGCCCTCAAAGAGCTTCCATAAAGTACTGTATAACCCAGGAGTTCACTTATCAAATACATATTCTTAGCTTTGTAATTATTTCCTTTCTTTTGCTTTACCTTCTGGCAGACGCTTAGCTTTATCTTTAGCTACCTCATCACTTGAACATCAGTTAAGCAGCTTCAAAATGAGTGGACTTTTTCTATTTGGCAATGGGTTTGATTTATGTAGAGTGGTTAGAGCAAGTACTTTTAGTGAACTTTATGTTATTTTAGGAGTTAGGATAATTCGGAATCTAACATCATACCATCTTGAGTGTGTCTGTCAAGAATCTAATAATCTGAGACTCAGTATTACAAGAAGTCTGTTTTGAGCCTTTGGGCTAGGCTGGTTTTATGCCAAATTTCACTCTGCAGTGAGTTGTTCTAATGAGACTACTATATTTAAATTGGAGAGTTTCTAAAATACAGAAAATATCTTTCCTTTCCTAAAATAGAAAAAAATCTCTCCTGCTCTTCTCATCTACTTTCTTCCTCTTCCCTACCTCTTCTTTCTCTTCCACCTTTTGAAAATACAGGTTGTTGGGAATCGGTATTGTCCTAAGTATAAAGAACTTGGGTTTTCATTTATTTTCTTAAGATCTACTTAATATGTGATTTAATGTACATTAATGAGAAAAAGTATCTCTTGAGTGGAAAAAATCAGGCAAAATTCTTTATTGTTCAATAAAACAGATCCTCATTTTCAACGTTTTGTCTTCAGGGAATAATTTTGGAATTACCAGAACAAATAAGTAAAATAGCTTCCCACAGGAACAGAATGTAAGCAATAATAGGTCCTTAGCTATTCAGTAGCTTCTGCCTCTAAATTAAACAAGGTCTTGTTTTGTGTAGTAAACCCCAAAAGCAAAAAATAAGTATTCAGTATTATTGGCTGCCAGCATATGAACCATGAAGTACTAAAATACAAAAGTGTGCTTCAAGGGTGGTTCTATTTATCACATTTCTTTCCCTGGGTTAGTGCTTACCACTCACCTAGGATTAGCCAGATTATATAAAAATTAAATTATGCCTCTCCCTGGTGGCACAATGGGTTAAAGCACAGCACTATGAGGCAAGCTGGATTACCAGCCAGGGAGGTGACCCACATAGCGTGGCAGACCTCTCCTGGCCCCACCTGCTTCTCCCCTCAGCAGTGTATTTCGTTGATCTGCCTGTCCTGCTCCCCACTCTGTCTCTGGTGAATCCTCTCACCTCCTGCACCTCTGGCCTGTACCCGAACTCTTGTATGCACAAATAAAATCTTAAAAAAAAAAAACTAAACTACTCTGTTAGCCCTTAGTCAGGTTATAATCAAATATGGCTCATTCATTGGACTAGATTTGCATTAGGCTCATTCCTGGACCAAGAATAAACCATGTGCGTCTCTGAACCATAATCTTAATCTAAAGCAACAGAGATTAGAGTCTGGGATTTTTTCTCATCTAATAGAACCCGAGATATTACAGATTATTCTGATCACAGGTCATATGTAAAATATCCCAAAGCAATAATTTAATGAAATTGCCTTTCCCAAGGCCACACAAAGCAAGTACATTGCAGAAAGGTGGGATGCCTGACATATGCTCTTCCTCATCATGAAAGGCAGGCACACCTTTGTCCAAGAGTGTAATATGGGGCATAACCTCTCTGCTCTTGTGACATCATCAGCAACTTAAAGTCCAGTCTCTAAAATACTCACAATGGTTGAACAATATGAGTAAAGATCAACTAGAATTTTTCTGGTTGTGCTTTTCATTTCTATTTCCCTGGTATTTGTTTGCTTATATTTTGTTTTCCAGTATTATGTTTTGCTAAAGAACAACCACAACAAACACCTACCCAGGAATGACATCACTTTTCCTTCTGTTCTTCCTTCTTCCTTCCTTCTTTTCTTTTTATTTAATGGCTTCAAATCTTTTCCCTCTCTGAGACTTGCTCTTTATTCTCCCAATAATGCTTCCCCTTTAGTTTTTAAAGTCGTTACTGTTTTCACCACATAATTGGAGTTCCTTTTCACATGAAGGTGGTGAGTGAGCACAGCGTTTCTGTAGTGTCCTGTTTTAGTATATATTAAGGCTTTTGGATGAAGGGAAAGAGAACACTGCAAAGAAGCAAAAACATCACAGTGAATAATTTGATAACAACTTTGCCTTGATTTTTTTCTCACTGGAGATTCAACTTTTGATATATGTGCTATACAAAAAAATCCTTTAGGGATTTATGCATTGAAAATAAAAGGCCATAGAACATATACACAAATCTGGTTTTGGGTAAGTGACACTTCACAATGAAAATAGTGACAAAACTGTTGTTAAAATGTTAACAGCATTGACATTTTAAAAATTATAATTATTAAAAGTATAATACTCTTACTATCAGCCATCTGTTCTCTAAACTGGTTGCATGATCATTTGAATATAGCAAGTGAATTTCTACTATAGATAATTATTTATTCCAATGTTTAGACAAATCAAGACTATTCTCACATAAGCACTGTCAATAGTGTGACTTTTAAAAATGAATAGAAAGAACTGTAAACTTTTCAAAAACCAATGTTGAAGTGAAAAGCATTATAACAAAAGTCACTTAAAATATTGAAAGGTAATTACTCCTAAGAATAAAGACAAATTCAGCACATTACAAAAACAAGTACAATTCAGAGAACAGTCTTTTTGGCTTTAGGAATTAAAGATTTTGGCAACATACTTTAAAACCCATTTGTCTATAAAAGAAAACTTTATCCTGGACAAGGAGTTGTGTGTTTTATAATTGCATTAAGTGCCTGCTTCCTTCCCAAGTGCCCTGCAAAACACTCAGTACATTTATATTTATCTAACCAATGAGAGATATATCTGTGTGTAATGGAATTATTTGCAGAATTTAATGGCCCTTGCGATTTTCCCATGGGAATTCTTCAAAAGCTAGCAATGTCTACTTTTTTCATATATTTACTAAGATATTGAGTATTAGCTGGAAATTGAAGTTTATTCCTGGGAATCCAATTATGCAAATAATTTGGAATCATTCAGTCTTGAAGCCATGAATTGCTATCTTTGTGTTTCATAACTACACCTGTATTCCTTTAACGTATATCACATGCTTAATATAAATAAAACCCACATTCATATAAATGTGTTTAAATGGTCAAGTGATTTGGGTGCATCCTGTGACTTTACTCAAACTAAAATCGTAGAATCCCTATAGCCTGCAATGAATGTCAG